AGCCTTAGTAGTAAGTACCTAAGGGCTGTTGCTTGGCTTTAAGAGTATACCAGGTGTTCAAGGGCACTAGGAAAGACTGAGGTGTGACGTTTGGGCAGGTGAAAAACCATGTTTGCTTTGAGATGTGCAGATATAAATATGCAAACACAAAACACAGACTAACACAACAGCTAAAGAAAAGTGTAACTCCTGGGGGTTTGCCCCAATGGCTTTCTTTGCAACTACCCTCCTACCCAAATGCCTGACAATGTCTAAGACAGACTTAAATGTACTTGATATGGGGTGTAAATGGCCAACGAACTAGCTACTCTGTCTTTCCAATCCATCGCTGCTCCATGAATATTGGGGAAAAGGGCGGGGATGGGGGGAATGGATTGAACTTCAACTGAATCAGGGATGCAGTTTGAAAATGAAGCAAGAAGAGAGAAATGCGGTGGTAAAGCAACAAGAGAGGAAACAGCTCTTTCAGATTAGTTACACTAAATTTCTAAAGTGGATTTTCAGTCATATTTGCCTTCATTACATGAAAAGGATGACCTAAGCTGAGAGTTAATGACAGGAAGTGTCCATTTCCTAACACAACTTGGCTGTGTGTATAGAACAATTTGGGTCAAAATCAGGTACATTTCCAAGTCCATCTGAGCTTGCCAGTTAGCTTTAGGAGTTTTTCACAGGCTGTTGTGAGCTGGTAACATAAGGTACAGAGGTTGGGGACCCACCCAATCTTTACAGGTTGCCTGGCACCCTAGCCCTATTATACATGGGTGAGTGGCAACTAGTGGTTGGCTCCAGTGTGAGAGCACAAGACAGGAAAAAGATTACACAAACTTTAGTTTGGTTATTGAATTAATCCAAAATGGAGTATAGATTAAATCAATATTTAATTTAGAAGTAGTCAGTTTCTGTTAGGAAGTCATGGCTAAGTTTCAAAGAGCAGGTAGGGTGTTTATGGGGGCAGGGTCTTGGAACTTCAGAGCTATAGTACTGCCTTCTTTGGTGGTAAGCAGGGATTGCTATGGTTTAGCATGGGAAATGATTTAAAAAAAAAAGATACCAAATAAAAAAGTACACAGCTCCCATTTCCCTATATTAATAAGTTCCACATAAAAGCTAAGTAAACTTTACAGTGACAATGAGGGAGGTACCTCTATACCATCCCAGCGTATATTCACTCACCTGAGGTCAGTTCATCTCCCATTCAAGGAGCCATTCAAAAAGTGGATCAGTCAAGTAAAAAAGCTTTGTATGTAAGGATCAGGGGTATTTCTTCGTGTAGACGCAATGACAAGAGGAGTACCAATTGGTATTCCAAATCTACATGCTGGAGGATTTGTGTATTGACTGGCATTTGATCAAAACAAAATGGTTACTGGTGTGAAATCCAGAACATTCTTGTGGACTAATCCTATCGAATGGAGCACCAGAATTCCCTGTGGAATCATCCATCAGAGGACCAGAATTCACAGGAAGATGGACTCTGGCCACATCAGCACCCAGACAAGAACCTTTACAAGGAGGGAAGCATGCATTCTTCTTAAACCCCAGCTTCGCCTCCTCTCCCCGAAATGATTTTTCTTACTTCTCAAGAGCACAAACACCCCATAAGAATTCTTTTAACATCTACTCCTGTACTTTAAGCTTACCGATGGCAATCCCACGCTTCCTCTAGCCACAGAGCTATCCCAACTCATGTCCAAAGCTAACCCCACGGGCACCTGCCCCCAGGACTCTGCTTCATCAGTTAGCTGCAGCCATGTGCACCCGACCCTCCCGTGCCTCCCTCTCAGCCCTCATCACTTCTTGCCAGTGATACCTTCCTGCCTGGTCCCTGGCCTCTGGTCAATCTGCCACCCACAGTGCCTTCTTAATGTTGAACTTCACTCCTCTGCTTAAAAGAGCCTTCATGGCTTCCCAAATCATAAATGGGTCATATATCCAAAACTCCTCTACAAATTGGAAGTTATACTTTAAGCCCAGATTCACTCCTCCATTCGCCTGTTTACTAGACACATCCATGTGTCAGGCACTGCGCTGGGCAGCCTATAATGGGCCTGAAGTAGAGTTCTCTTCAGAGAATGTTATAGAACCAGCTCTACAGTCTAACCATCATTATCCTCCATCCATTCAACCAATATTCACTGAGTACCTACTGCGCATCAGATACCATACTGAGCACCAAGCATGTAACGAAAGACTCAGACCAGCCCTTGGGAAGTTTGCAGTCTACCAGGGAAAGCAACTTTTTACAGAAAGAGGGCACCTCTGTTGGGGAGAATTCTCAGGACTCTTCTGTCAGACCGACACAGGTCTAGCCAGAATATCTCATCAGAAAGAAGACAAGCTATCTACATGCAAGTAACAAAACTAGAAAAAGAAAAAGAAAAAAACAACTGCATTCACTTTAAGTCTTTAATATATTTAATTACTTGGAATTGCTTTCTTAAAATCTTGGAAATCATTGTCTTATTTCCATTTTATCACTTTCCTATCCAGAGACCACATATTTGGTCCAAGGCTGTTACACCCTCTCTTAATTGGACAGTGGAAGCACTTAATCGGAGAGGGTGTAACAGCAGGCGTCACCTTGCCACTTCACCAGTGAGACACAGAGGTGCCTGGCAGAGCAGTCCCTCCACCTTGTGTCTGGTGCTCTTTCCAGGACACCCAGTTTTGGGGAGCCAGGCAGCGAGTACGTGTTGTCTACCACACACATTGCTGTCTTTGCCTCATTCCATCTTCCAAACCACTTTGGGAGGAAGAGGTATTCACGCACAGAAAGATGGGAATTCTATCAGGTAACGAAATGTGCATTAGGTCACTCAGCCAACGCACATCATAGGATATGTCCAGCAGAGGCAGGGCCTCCACCTAGGACCACCTGACACAGAGGCTCTCTCCAAACCACAATGACTCTCTTTGCTCCAGAGAAACCTTCCACTAAGTTGATATAATGTGAGTGACTATATAACAGAAAGTTGGGTCAGATTTCGCCACAATTCAGATGCTGTTATTCAGAATGACAGTTCTTATGTCTGACTTCCTCAAATTTTATTGTATTTAAATGGGATGAATTCACAATTTTAAAAACATTAAAAAGACACCAAGAAAGATGGTTTTATCTGGTTAAATCTCTAGAGAGGGGGATTTCGGGGTGAACATGACTTAGCTCCTGCACTCACTGGCAGAACAGAATTGGCTTTTCCCCAGAGCGGGATAAACAGGCCAGCCTGGCAGCTATCCAGGGTGACAACTCACAATGGGGGACTGAATCATCATTGTCATCCACCGGAAATATGGAGCCACTTAACTCGGGGGTGAACATGCGCCTCATTACATAAGGGGCAAGATGGCAATCGGCCCTGTCTCCACTCAAGCAGACAGTGCCTGTGAGCAGAAATAAACATACGCCTCACCAGCACAGACCTGTCTCTACTGAGACTATGTCCCCTCATCACAGAACTAGATGTAGTAGAAAAACAGGCCTCACCGCCAGCCCCAATGTCACCTGGCTGACTGACAGGCATCTGAAATTCTGAATCTGAACAATGCATGGTAGAGTGCTATTATCAGTCGCATTTATGAAAATCTGGTTCAGAAAATCACATGCAATAAATCCCTTCTTTTCAACATACAGGAAAAGGTATATTTTTTATTCATAGTCTTTTATTTACTTATTTTTAGCTGAGCCATCATGCCACCTTTTTGGCAGCTCAGCGGCAGCTCAGCTCAGGCCAGGCATTGAACCGCTGTTGCTCAGAGCTCAAACTCTTGAGCGAGCTCTTAACCAACTGAGCCACTCGGCCGGCCTATTCATAGTCTTCTAGAACAGACGATTTGTTTCACTCACCCTCATTACACATATATGGAGCAGATATTTAAAGATTAGCAGTTTGATAAGGTGCCAATGATTAGCCTTCTCAGTCAGGATACTCACTGTCTCGGGTCAGCCCCGGTTTTCCCATGAGAAAAAAATTTGCTCAAATAATTTCATAACTCACAAATGTTTACAGTTCCCATAAAAAAAAAAAAAGGACCAAGGTTTTCTTCATCTAACCCAAACAGTAGTTGTTGGAACAATTTAATAACATTTCAGATGTCAATAGTTCAATTGATGATAAAAGAGCAATTTTTCCCTCTCTAGAATCTGTAAGCTAAAAAGATCACCTTCCCACAAATGAGATGGTGTCTGTGAAACTACTCTGAGAATCTCCTGCCCATGGCAGAGCCTCCTGGATAGGCGATCCGTCAGCCCCAAATCCCTACAAAGTGCTGGCTCCCTTGGCCTGAGCTGCATCCTTAAGTTCATAACAAGGACCGTACAAGACCAGGTTGAACAGGCCTCTCTCTCCCTTATGAGAAGCAGAGCTGGATCAAAGTGTTGGGGGACAATTATTTAACTTTTAACTGCCTTGATTTTCTTAATTGAATACTCAACCCCTATTGTTGTTACTAAGATTTTCCAAAAGTGACCTTTATAATAAATTAAAATCCATAGAGTTAATCATAAATCACCTATTAGTCAACTGTTTTCAACTTTTACTTAGGCAATTATTTCCTCAACGTGGGCTGCCACTGAGTAATACAACCGGGTAATTTGAATTGGCCATCTCTACTTCCCCTTCCAGAGAGAAATGATAACAAACAGTGAAATGGTCCACAGAGCAGCTCAAAAGGAAAGACGATTTAAAGTCAGCGGAGCCCATTATAAAGAGCTTTGAAAGTTGTTTATATGAATGGTAACAGAACAAATCATTTCAGAATTAAAGCATGGAAATTATAGCATTAAATTTAATACCGTTTATAAAACTTTACAGCATCTTTTACAACATGTGTGCATGCTCATCAAGTCATATTTCAATCCCCCCCCGAAAAACCTAGTGTTTACCATTCAGGGCCCAAAAGTGTGAAATACTGCACCTCTTTCAAGAAAGTTGCTACCCACCTGAGAAGTTTTTCCAAAGAGTCACTGACAATAAGGGTATCTGATTTCATTTACTTACCTGTTTTATCTGCAGGAATGCGAGGAAGTCTCAACGAACAACTTCAAAAAGAGGTCACCTGGAGAAACACATTGAACAAAATGTTAGATTAAAAACACATATGGGCCAGCCGCGTGGCTCATTGGTTAACAGTTGGCTTAGGAGCATGAGCTCTGAGCAGCAGGGCAGCTGGTTTGGATCCCACATGGGCCAGTGACGCTGCGCCCTCTACAGCTAAGATGGTGAACAGCTCGACCTGGAGCTGGGCTACCGTGAGTGGCCAGCAGCCAGCGTGAGCAGCCGGCAGCCTGCGTGAGCTGTCGTGAGCGATCGTCCAGTGACCAGCAACCGATCTGCCTCAGCTGGGAAGAGCTCAATGATCATCAATGATCACAATACCAACATGGGCCAGTGAAGCGACGTCCTCCACAACTAGACTGAAGAACAAAAGGACAGCAACTTGTCTGTTCCCCTTCCCCTATTCCCCAATGCTGGTCCCCTCCCCACAATTCCCCAATAAAATCTTTAAAAAAAAAAGAGAGAGAAGCAAACCACATACATGACTCCCATGCACACAGTTTTACATCTCATTAAAATATGTGATATTTCAAATATCGGTTTCCAAGTAGCATATAGTTGAGCTCACATTAGAACAGAGCCACCAGGAACATCAACTGATGCACCAACACAGGGTCCAAACCACTGAAGAACCAAAAAAATCAAATGGCAGTGGGGAAGGTGCAGCCCAGGAACATGTCCCTCATTGACATCCTCTCCTTTCTCCTCACTTGTACATACAACTTGTGCCCTTGTGGGCACTTTATAAACCACCATAAAGGGTCAAACAATCCAGAAACAAATTAAGGAATGAAATACGAAATTGTAAATGAGGAATCTATCCTGGGAGCACTTTATATCCTTTTCAGTTACTATGTGAACTTTTTTTTAAAGCTTAATTCACAAGGATGTTAAAGACTGGAGAAATAAAAAAAACTGTCATTAAAACTCTAACATAGTAAACAGAGGAATTAAGAAGTAAGACTTTGGGATGGTAGATGAAGGTAAGAGGAATCAAATATATGATGATAGGAGAACTGACTCTGGGTGGTGAACACACAATATGATATATAGATGATGTATTACAGAATTGTACACTTGAAACCTGTGTAACTTTACTAACAATTGTCACCCCAATAAACTTTAACTAAAAAAAAAAATTTATTGCATTGCCATTTTAATATTTTTGAACATTATGGAAAGGCACAAAAAATGCCTATAATCCCAGAGTTTACATTTAGGATGTAAAATTCTGATGTATTAAATAAATGGATTATCAATCAATTTTATAAGATCAATGTATTGGATTTAATAAAAAATCAAATAAATTTCTGTTTTAAGCCTAAGAAAAAGAAGTAAGACTTTATTTGGTGTTCTCAAAGTCTTCAGGAACCTTAGAAAATGATAAGCCTATTAATACGTAAACAAAACAGAGAATCCCAAAATGTCTGTTCAGCATTGCTTGGAAATATTAAACAGAAATGGAACAAATTTCTAATATATTACCATTTGTTGGAAATCTATTGTGCACCCAGGACTGTGTGGCATCAGATTATAACCTTTCCAGACAGGCGGTATGCCCACTGACATACTCATAAGATCCTTTGTTATAACAGCTTATGGGAGTTATGATTTTTTTTTAAATGGCTCTTTATTAGTCAAGTACTGGTTAAATACTAAGCACTTCCCCAACTTTATTTTACCCCTTTAGGGAATGTGTCACAGCAAGTTATGATCAGTATTTTTATCTGGAAATGGCTTCTGTAAAATAAGCCACTAGGGGGGTGGGGGAATAAAAAAAAATAATAATAAGCCACTAGGATTATTATGAATGGGTCTGTTATAAATGGAGTTCTTGATCAACATTTCATTACGTCTAAAAGTGAAATGGGTCACAAAAATACTTAAACTAGCCCAGTTCAAAATCAAAGATAACATTTAAAAAACCTCTTTTGTTACATAGAACACAAGCAAAGCTCTGAACAGGTAATACAGATCCCAAGACCCCAACAATAACAGAGAAGGCAGGGTTGAATGCTGATTCCTACCTAAAGCTTTCCAAACTCATCCTCTTGGTTAAATGCACTTCTTAGAATGCATAAATTTCACCTAAGCTCTGGAGGAAAAGGGCATTTGGGAACAAGTTTTCAGTATCATGATTAAGCTTTATTGACAACAAAATTCATATTCTGTGAAACTGCCAAAGTGATCAAAAAGATAAAACATGCCAATTCTGTTATTGGGTTTGGTCAGTAAATAGGGTCTTATACTTATTTTTATTTTAAAAAGTTCTATTTCAAAAAAGTATATAGTAGAGTAAAAATATACTAAGACATAGAGCCCTCAAAAGTTCACAAAAAATAGTTACTGTATTAGGCATTGACTGTCAAGCATTGTCCTGGGTACTTGATGGGAATTAGCTCATTTACTTCTCATAAAAACCCTGAAGTAGGTACTAACTAGTATTTTCCCCATTTTAAAGATAAAGAAGCAGGCGCAAAGATGTTTAAAGAATTTTCTAAAAGTTAGATGGCTGCAAGAAGTGAAGATTTGAATTCATATCCATTATCACGTTTAATCTTCACTATTATAATAATACAGGCCGGGGCAGAACATTTTACCCCCATTTTAAATTTGAGGGAACCAAATTTATTCTGAGGAATAAAGACTGACTTCCCCCCAAATCACACTGCTAGACAGCAACAGGGCCAAGAACAGAAACCAGAGCATCTAACTGTAAGGCCAGCGCTACTTTTTTATGTGCTTGTTTTTGTTTTAAATTCTGTTAATATGCAACTCAATGTAGAGAGTGTGTTCTGCCTTTAATCTCTGAGGAGATACTTCAAGGTCCTCCCATGGGCTGTGGTAACTGTAAGAACAACAAGTGCATAAAGGTATTATCATGCTGCCCTATCACCGTTTTTCCATTTCGCAATGTGTAATTAATGTTTCCCTTACTGGTTTGTTAAACACATGGGAGGTTATAAAAATTAAAAATATTTGTCTTTATCATTTATTATTCTTTTATCTTGACTTTTATAGATTAGTATTCTTCTTGGCCATTTCAGTTTATAGCCCAATAAATGGAGGCATTGTTTATTCTCACAAGTACTACTGTATTCTAAACAGAATGAAAATTGCTGTTATTTTTGAACTGAGTTAAAAATGTTTACTTCCCATTCATCTCCATTTGGGTCTCATGCCCTTCAGATCCACTTCCGGAGACCAGGAGGAGAAACAATAGTGGCCTTTAGTGCCTAAGGACAGCACCCACATGACAGGCACCAACTCTAATTTATTGAATGGAATTGCCCAAAACAGGAAGCACGGTGGTAAGACCCCTTTCTCAGTTATAAGTTTTTTTGACTTGAAATGCACTGATTTGAATTGCTTTATGTTACTCTATAAAAGTAGAGCCAAAAAGTGTAAATGATCACCGAAGTTATAAGGATAAATTTCAGCTTAATTAAACAAAGACTTTCATATTAAACTGTCATCCCCACCCGCAACCCAGTGGTCCAGGTTGCCTCTGGGGTAGGTTAAGAGCAGCTGCTCATGATCACAGAAGCCATAGACGGAAAAAAGTCTCCATAACTGTCCTTCAACATAATCCTTCCATGAACCCTGCAGATAGTTCACTATGTCCATCTTTGGCAAGAATGGACGTTCCCATGGCAGAGCAATGCATAAGTTACACGACACTTTCCAATTCATTTTCTAATTTGACCCACACTATGAGTAGAAGGGTAGCTGGCGTGGGGGTGGGGGTGGGGGCAGACACATCATTTATTCTTCCCATTCGACAGACTAGGAATTTGAACAACTTAAGCAGAGTTACACAATTAGTAAATGCGAATATCTGGGCTCCAACCTAGGCCTTCTGACTCTGAAGCCCAGGGTATTTTCAGTTAGGCGATATTGCAACAACCAAGACATGATGCTTTTCAACCATCAAACTTATTCATCAAGGACAGGGGCTAGGGACGAGCCCCCAAAGACTTGAAGCATAGAAATGAATATCAAAGGAGAATGGCAAGGGCCCTATTCCTCTCACAAACCACCCCTTCTACCTCCCTAAAAAGCACTCTATATGTTTGGTAAGCATACTCTCTAAGGCTCTGCTTACATGTGTCGACTGAAGGAGTAATTGTCCAAATCCTGCTTTACTCTGCTCTGTTGATACAATAATTGCTTGGGGAAATTGGTTCACATTTTAAGAGGAGTTGATGGCAGCATAATAAACACAAAGAGCAGTGTCCTATTTCTACATCTAAAGCATAAATTGCTCAAAGATTAGGCTGGTAGTTTTTTAAGAAGTCAATGAAATGCATTGACTCTATTCTGACAACAGGTCCAGGATAACCTCCCACTTGAGTCTGACAACAGGAGTTTAACAGAAAAGGGGTCAGCCATTGAAGGACAGCTGAACCTTGCAAGATTTTTCAAGGAAAGACATGAGAGTGTCAAATTTCACGAAACTGTCTACCAAGTAGCGAGTGGCAGGCTGCCAAAGGCTGGACTGTGCTAACTCATGGGAAATGCTGGGAACCTGAACCTCTACAATGCCTGCCCTGCCACTCAGCCACAGAGTGAATGACTGAAGTTCAAGTTTCTCAGAGGCCTCATGGACTATGAGCCAAATATTGTTCAACACAAAAACTTCCTTTTACTCTTAAGAAAGGAGAAACTACTTACTGGATTCAAAAATCACATCAACATGAAATTGTGAAAGGGTAAGTGTTGGAATACCTGGGTACAACAAAATAGCTTCGCAATGTGCCAGCCACAAGTCAGATTCAATTATACTGCATTTCATCACACCAGGTTTGTGCATCAAAACACTACTATTGTTATACACACATAGCCAGGGCCACATTTGTTTACAGAATTGTTCACCTTTCCCTGTAAATCTACTGGACCAGAAGCTCCTGGAGAACAAACCAAAGTCTAGCTTACGCCTCTCTGCACTGAGTATCTACTGCACTGAGCACAGTGCCTGGCCCGGAGTGGACATTTCATAAA